CCACAGACGTGGTCAGCAAGGCAGAAACACAGGACCAAAATCCCCCAAGCGTCAGGAGGGTCCTGTGCCCCCAGGACGTGCGCAAGCACTGCATGGTGGGCACAGTGGTGGTACTGTTCACTGTGCCACTGGCCGTCTTCTTGTGTTATGTTGGCATCCGGCGGTGGATGGACAGTAAACAGTAAGTTGATTTTTTACACCCACAGCTTCCTTTAATATCTGGTCGTAGCTGTGGAACATTCCCAGTCTGGCTGCTGGGGAGCGGCCAGTTAGTCCTTGGCCAGAGAACTCTGCTGAGGGTTGTGCTGCTGGGCAGGGCTGTCACTGCCTCTCCCTGTGTGCCACCCGCAGCTGGGCCTCAGACACCTCCTCTCTCCACAGGCGCCCTCCTGCAGCTCCAAAACATCAGCGCCACTCCCCTTCACCTCCAGAGAGCCTCAGGAACATTCACTTGGACACACCTCAGAGAGGGCCTCCACACCAGCAGTCCCACAGAAAACTGGAGCCCCAACCCTCTGTGCCTCCCCCACGCCCTCCCCCAACTCCCCGGAGGCAGGACCTGCCCGACATCCCCCTGCCTCCTCCTCCTCCTCCTCTGCCCCCCCCGGGCCTGCTGACCTAGTCCTCCAGCCAACACTGAAAGGGGCTTGGGACCATCAACAGCTTTGGGCATCTGTTCTTCTGTACAAATAATATGTGATAGCCATAAGCCAGGTTCAGTTTCCATATTGTTATACCTTCAACAGCAAGGACTGAAGACTCCTGTGCCCTGGATTCCTTTGCTACTTTCGTTTTTGTACAGCTAGGTGCTGGCTGAGTCTCCTCAAAGAACTTTATTTGCAGTAGCTGAAGAACAGGAGGAAAAGAACAGCAGTCTCCCCTCTGTCTGCAAAAAAACAGCTGAGCAGAAATTAAAATGCCAACAGAATAAAAATATGATTGTCATGAAACACTTTACTGATAAAAGCTTCAGCATTCCAAAGTGTATTCCATGAACACAAGAACACATGGATCCCTGTGTGCCATGCCCATATCCACTGCTGCCTTCAGGCATGGGGTTGGTAAATCCCCTTCAGACAAACACAGTGAGAGTTCCTGAATTTTTCACAGGAACCTGAAAAGCACAAAAAAGCCCAGAAGGATCCAAATCTTAAAACAATTCATCTTGGTGCTCCTTTCATGCCTACACTAGCTCAGGACTCAAATCCCAACAGCTACTTCAGCCCTCGGATCGCAGGAGCCCTGTTGGGCACCTACAGGGTGGGCTGCATCCAAACTGCTCTTTCTCTTGAACCTCTACTCCTGCAAAAGGAGTTTGAGGTTCGCTGAGCTCAAGAGTCCCATCGAGCAGCGAACAGGACACAGAGTCCCCGCTTGATGGCCGAACTGAAACCATCAGCTCCTCACTCACAGCTCCTCTCAGGCAAAGGCTCGGGGCTGCCAATCCTCAGCTGTGCCCAAAACCCTCAGAATAACAAGGAGCAGGAGACACCCACACTCTTGGTGTCACCTTCCTCCACGCAGCGCCCTGCCCAGCATGGCATTTTGGGAGACTGGGCACTGAGATGTCCAACTGGCCCATTAGGAAGCTGCTTCTGATTTTCCAGGAATTTCAGGTTCTAGATGTCATGGGAACAAACACAAAATGCATCTCAAAACCAGGTCTGAAGCCTTCGTCATCTTCCCTGCATCTGCTCTTTAAACTCACTGCACCTCCATTCCTTTGCCTGTACACACTAACTTAATAATCTCTGGTATTCAGGGATATCCAGGAGAAAAAGTGCTCTAAAAAGGCAAAACCCAAATCATATGTGTTTATCCTGAGAACCTATAATCTAATTTACAGCAGGAATTAAGGTGGCATCAATGTTGTAGAAAGAAAACACTTTTCTGAAGTAATTTAGATACACACTCTTAGGAGGAGTCAAACCTTGTAGCAGAGGCTCAGATCACATCTGCTCCTTACAGCCTGCAGAGGAACTTCTGCCAAAATCATCAGCTAGAGAAACAGAAAGCCAGGAGTAAAACTGACTGAAGCACTACAAGCCAAATTCTGGTCCCACTTATCCTATTGTGAATTTCCAATTTTCCCCCTCCATTTACTCCGAAATTTGTTCATAAAAAAGAAATATTTACCCCATGAGCATCAATAAATAAACTTGAAAGCAGTGGATTCCTCTTTTCCAATTACTGTAGGAGAGCCTTTAAACTGTTCCAGATGCTGAATGGCTAAGAAATGTCAAACACAACACCTGGTTACTGAGAACTGCAGCTGTTTCCTCTGCAGACTACATAGCACATCATTTCTTCCCTTAAATAGTTCATGCCAAGACAAAGACCACAGTCTAAGGTAATATCACTCAGAATAAAACCCAAGTTGCAGTTAGGTCAGGCCTTTTTTCTACCCCTCTGCTTTCCCATCGTCTCCACAGCAAGAAGGGCTCCAGAGACCAGTTCTTGTCTGGTTTTCACAAAGATATTTTCCTTACTTTAGGAGCACCTGAGACTCTCTTTCCTTTTTTAGGTACTTAGCACTACAATTTCACTTTTCTTCTTGACAGTAGGACAGAGTCTGGAAGGAATAAAATAATTTTTTTTTTTACTATAATAAAGTGATCTTTCTGGCAAGATGAGCATCTTCCACAACCCCACAGTTCTGGCTGCCTCTGTGCACTGCCCAACTTGCCACACAAATGAGACCAGACTACTGATATCCTGGAATGTCAGACATTAATGCAAACTGGGCTGATCCTCAGTCCTGAGACACCTATGAACCATGGAATAAACTATAAGTGTGGTTAACTTCAGCTCCAGCCTATTTCTATAAATGTAGTTTATATCTCTTAACTAACCCCACGGCTACCTAATACAATTTAAAACATTATTCCATCAGTGAGTTGCCAAACAAGCTAAAGTCTGAGCATGGCACATTTAGCCTTTTACAATAAAAATATCCACTTAAATAATTTCGAAAGCAACATTTTAATATACTTCTGATTTCCAGCTATTCCCACAGCACTGTAGAAAGAGTCATTCCACTCAGATCCTGCTTCCTCATCAGCTCTCTCTATAACTGGGACACCTTCAAGGCAGTTTCATGCTCAAGGGCACCTCCAGAACTGGGAACAACTTAGTGAGAAAAAGTCCTTGATTCCTTGCTAAAATGCCCCCATGTCTCTAAGCAGGTTTAGGGAGTAAGTCAAGGAACAGGCAAATCTTGTCTGGGTAGGGAGTAAAATCTTAGTCTTGCTATAGTTGGGAGTAAAGCAAGGGCCATTTTAATTACACTATGACAGACTTTTGTGTACCTCTGGTATCAGAAGCATGGACAAGAAGGTAAAGTGTGGGGCAATTTACAGCTTAGTTGTAAAGAAAAGCAGGTCAAGGGAAAGAAAGTTTCCTTTTACCTTTTACCTCTTACCAAACAGCCCCCTTGTCACAGAGGGGCTGGAGTGACAGTGTTTTCTCCAGTCCAACTGCTTTCACACTTGTCTGATGTTTAAAAGTCTTGGGACAGGTGGTTGCTTTTTAAGTACACATGATGCATGACCCAATTGCCCACAGTCAGAGCTTTTCCTGAAAAATCAAACAAAATCCAAGAGCCAAAGGTTTGGGGTATTTTGCTGGTATCAAGGATCTGCCTTTTCTCAGAGATGGAACTTTGGTGAAGGTGATCTCATTTTGGCATTCTCCTGTCCCTGTGGCAGGGATAGCACAGAAAGCCAAAGATTTGTTGTGCCATTTGCTCGTTCAAACCAGAAGCCCTTCAGATGGACAACAAGGAATTCAACAGAGCCCCAAATGTTCCCCAGTATTCCCAACGATGCTGCTCTTCCATCCAGAGACACCACTAAGACACCCAACTGGAAGCCACAGGTGCTAAGCACAATTTACACTGACAGGTTTATAGCCTATTCTGGCAGCTTTTAAATCAATTAGGTCCACTTGGTAAATATTTTTACAATGAAACTAGCCAGCCCAAAATAAGTTTAGATTGTTGCATTGCCTAAACTCTGGGTCCTTGATGCTTTTGCTGTTGTTTGGGGTCAGTGGTTTGGTGTAAGTTTCCACAGTATCTGCTAGAAACATTCAAGGTTTATGTTTTTGTCTTTCCTGTCTCTCTCTGTTGCCTCATTACTGGGACATTTTGACATGAAGGCAATTTCTTGCATTAGTAACAATATTAGATGATGAAAAACTGAAGTTCTACAGGTAAATATGGCTATGAGAGTGAATAATGAATATATATGCATCCAATCACTCCTCAGGTTGATCAAAAATACAAGTTACAAGTTATTGTATCACTTCAAACAGGAGGAAAAAAACCCACTTACTTATTTCTGTCACAGAAGACTTACAAAACACATACCAATACCATAAAGTCAGCATGTTTACAGAGATGAGGAAGCCTGAGTGAACAGAAAGATGATTGTCTTTTAAGCAAGTTAGTTTTGTTAATTTGGTGGAACCACTCAGTTACTTGTCAGACTGGATTCTGCTATCCTATCGCTCTGCTCGCGCTAAAGAGGAACCAGAGATACATTAGTGATCAAGTTAGAAGCAAACTTGGAACTCAGGCTCGGCTGGAATCCTTTTCCCGACAGACAAATGGAGCAGGGTCGCACCTGCCCGTTCCGCCTGAAGCCTTTTCCTGACAGACAAAGCCGACCGCGGCTCCCGCTGAGGGACGAGCTCCGCGTGGGGAACAGCCTGGCGCCTCTCCCGTCCCGTCCCGCCGCGGGTGCGGAGCGGTGCGGGACTGAACGGAGCTGTGCGGGGCCGGGCGGGGCTGTGCGGGGCCGGGCGGGGCTGTGCGGGGCCGGGCGGGGCTGAGCGGGGCCGGGCGGAGCTGTGCGGGGCCGGGCGGAGCTGTGCGGGGCCGGGCGGGGCTGAGCGGGGCCGGGCGGGGCTGTGCGGGGCCGGGCGGGGCTGTGCGGGGCCGGGCAGGGCCGGGCGGAGCTGAGCGGGGCGGGCTCGGCCGGGCTGGGGATGCTCGGAGAGCGCGATGGAGCCGGCTGAGGGCTGGGACCCCTACGGGCGGCCGGCCCGGCGCACGCAGTGGTTGGTGAGCGCCCTCGCCTACCACTACGGGCTGGACCGCGGCGTGGAGAACGAGATCGTGGTGCTGGCCACCGGGCTGGACCAGTACCTGCAGGAGATCTTCCACCACCTGGACTGCGCCGGGGCCGGCCGCATCCCCGGCGAGGATTTCCGCACGCTGTGCCAGGTGCTGGGGCTGGAGGAGGCGGCGGAGCCCGAGGAGTGCGCGGGGCTGTGGGACGGGCTGGCGGCCGGGCTCACCTTCCGGCAGTTCCACGCGCGGCTCTGCGGGCTCTTCAGCACCCGTGCGGGCGGGGCCGAGCCGCGCCTGCCGCTCGGCCGGGACAGCGAGCACATCGAGACCCAGATCCGGCTGCGCAGCCCCCGCCGCCGCCGCCGCGGGCACCCCCCGGCCGGGCGGGGGGCTCTGGAGCGGCGGCCGGCGGGGCCCTGCTCCCCCGAGTGCTACGAGGAGATCGTGGCGTTGGAGCAGGCCGAGGACCGCATCGCCAAGCTGGAGGAGGAGAACGGCAGCCTGCGGGAGCTGGTGGAGGACATGCGGGCCGCTCTGCAGAGCAGCGATGCGCGCTGCCTGGCGCTGCAGGTGAGTGCGGGGCTCTCCCGCTCCTCTCTGCGGCTGTCAGGAAAGGGGTTCGGGGTAAGCTCCGTTTGTCCGTCAGGGAAAGGATTCCAGCCGAGCCTGAGCTCCAAACGTGTTTCGGAGTTCGTAACTAACTTATCTCTGGTTCCTCTTTAATGCGAGAGAAACGACAGCACCGCAGAATCCAGTCTGACGAGTAACACTGGGGAACAAGTGACTGGTTCAGTCCATTAAGAAAGATGCTGCTCTCGTAAATCCAGTGTCGATAAGCCCTGTGCCCTCCAGCGTGACGGATAAAACGAGTTATGGCATAGAGGGGAGGTTGCTCTTTCATCCTCGGCATTAACTTTTTAACAAAGTTTGCTTACATGGAGGCTTTAAGGACAAATGCTGCGTTTTCACCAGTGTGGTTCAGGGATATGCTGAAAAGCACCCTGCTAAAAGTGTAGGGGACTTCGAGTGTGTAATACCACTGTTCAAGTGCACATGCACAGACAGCTATATAACTGGTTATGCATCATTACAGGGCTCTTTCCTAAAGTCAGAAAGAACTTTTGGGTTCTGTACAAGCACATGCAGTGTCTCAATCATAGATGCCTCGGAAACATTAGAAGTGTGTTTTGTTCAGAGTGTGGTCACGAGAGTTCAGAGCTGGAGCCAGTTCTGCAGACAGGCTGATGAATAGTCTCTGGCTCCTCTGCAGAGCCCCATTAATTCTGGGGATGGTTGCTGGTGGTTCTGCTGTACTGGCCATACGTACTTAGCAGCAGTTAAATTACTCTGGCATGAAATAGCGTGGAACAGGCAGAGCAGTGAAGGGCAGAGTTCCCTGGTTGTTCTGGTGGGTCTGATCAGGTCAGTGTTTTCAGAACACTACTTGCCTTCTGAGGACAGACCATAGTAATGGCATTAAAGCTGTACAGACACTTGTGCAATAACCTAATAACAAACAGTTTGAAAATTAAATTTATAGATACGTATTAAAAAATACTTTCCAGAGATTGTTTCCTTGTCTCTCTGTTTCAAAGGTAAGTAGCTTATTAGTTGCTGATCAGCTATACGTGATTGAAAAACCCCAAAAAACTACAATCCAGAGGTTTTCAGTCTTGATAAAATGTCAGGTGCTTTAGGACACATTAATTTCTCCTGCTCTCTGCTCCTGGTGGTTACAGGTGGGGCTGCGGAAGAGCCATGCGAACCACAGGGAAGAGGGGACCTGTTCCATCGGGAGTAATGGACCATTCACACAGAACCACTCCCAGACCCAGTGCCTGCAAAGTGTCCTGAAGGAAATGGAGCTCATCCGGAGCTCCAGGGATGTGCAAATCGAAGAAGCAATCAGGTTCAACCAGGAGCTGGAGAGGGAGCTGAAGAGCTCCCAGGAAGCCCTGGCCAGCCTGGAGGACTGCAACCGTAACCTGAAGAGGGAGCAGGCAGAAATGAGGAGGAAGGTGGAGGAGGCGAGACATGCCGTCCTGAACAGCCTTGGCAAGGTGAGGGAGCTGGAAGTGAAAGCCAACGAGGTGCCGCGTCTGCAAACACACGTCCAGCAGCTGGAATTGGAACTGCAGCACTACAGGTAAGGCTGAGTCCATCAAAAGTGCCTGTAAAGTCACAAAGTTAGTTTGAAAATCACTCTCCGGGGCTTATTAAATGTCTGCAAGTACATCTTGTAAAGTCTAGCCAGAGGGAAATTAGGAGCTGCTTATCCATTGTCTTAGTAGGGATCCGTGAGAGAGCTGGAAGTGTTCAGTGGGAGGGAGGCCAAAGTAAGGGCGCTGATCTGCAGAGAGCTGAAGTTACTCCTCAAACACACAGCAACAGGACTCAGTAATGTCTCAAAAGGACATCATAATGCTTCAAGAAAGCCCAAAACAAATCGCTGACGCTCCTTCAGGAACCATTTCCAACACACTTCTTTTTTTTAAAGTATTTCCTGCTCGTCAGGTCACATCCAAAGCCAGCTGTGAGCAGATGGCTGACACTCCATGTCCAGGGAAAGCTCTTCAACTTGTCATAGGAACTGGGGGAAAGCACACAGGGCCAACATTTGGCCAGTGCTTTTAAACTGCTGTGTCTTCACTGCTGCTTCACTGACAGAATAGGTAATACTCCAGAAGAGAGAAGCTGAAACTTTCCTAAATCCACAAAATAACATAGTGGGACTCTCAAACAAAAAATACATTATCCAACTAAACCCCGCTTTTGTGATAACATAAATAAACTTTCCCAAAAGTCAGAAAGTTGGTCATGAGTTTAATAGCTCACTTGTTTTGTTGCTTTTTATCTCAGACAAAACTTGGACTCATTGAGGTTATTAAGTATGTTAGGCTTTTCTGTTTCAAATTGACCTATGGATCAACATCTAATTTGTATTTTCGCTGACCCACAGCAAAGCCAATATTTATATGTATTTTTACTAACTGTACTAAAGCTAGTATTTTAAAACATTGTGTATTCTGAACTCTCTTCTTAAACTTACACTTCCTCTGTTTGCTTATAAGAGGAATCCATAGTGAGTTATTTGTGGCTTTGTAGCTATTGTACTGTTTTATGAAGTGAGGAAATTCTAAAAATAACCATTTTATCCAGTGTCTTTTGGTAAGCATTGTGTATGTTAATACCTGTGTGGTTGCAGAAGATAAAAGCATTTATTTAAACATCTCTAGGATTTAAAAAACACTGTGAGGGCATATAATGTCCAAGATGACTGTCAGGGATATCTGGATAAATGAGAAAACTCTTAGTGTTAGGAGGGACCTCACTACCTGTCTAGTCCCATGTTCTCCCTGGCATGAGCACCAAACACTTCTTGTCCTGCAGAATTGCTTTTCCCAAGTATGATGAAGGATAAAAGAATCCCCTTTAAACAGGCAGTGACGAATGAGTTGAAGGCAAAAAGGAATGTCAGCTGGGCCTTGCAGAGCAGGAACTTCATGGATTACATCAAAACATGTACTGTGAGTTTAAAAATGCAAATTACATGTTCCTTGTCAGATAACCTTCATTTGTAATATTTATTTTTAAATTGCATGCTAATTTAAAGGGAGTGTAAAGCTCAGGAATGGTGTTGGACTGACCACTAGAGAACAACACCCCTTCTTTAATCCCATGGTACCTTGACCAGGCCAGTTTCCACCCTTTCAGATTCTCTGCTGGCCATAAAGCACTTCCATCTCCCCATCCATGTAATACAGCTCTTGGATCAAGCAGTTTCAGAGGCACCTACCGAGGACTGTGACTGGCGTGCCTGTGGTCACATTCCATCCTAAATGGAATGCCCCCATTCCACACCTTCCACAGGGTGGCACAGAGGGGCCCAAAGTGGCAGGAGGTGTTTCCTTCCAGAGAGGATCATATTTGAGTCCAGTTTATGAGCTTTAGATGCTGCTCCTGTTTATAGTTCCATATTTATAAAGGAAATTCAGTGTCTGAATACAAAAGGGTTTAGAAAGTGGGGCAAGTCCCACTTTTATGCAGTGCTGCCCATGGAGTTATTCTCATTTTGTACTGGGGCACTTGATTTCATTTTCCCAGGTGCAGTTCTCTTCAGCTGTTGTTACTGAAGCTCAGCAGTTCCATTTATGGATTACTTTTCCAGTTTCTCAGGATGCTATTGGGACTGACCTCCAAACTGCTCATTCCCTCCCAGCTTGGAGGCCCTTGCACACTTGTAATTCCTCTTTCAAAAGCTGGAAGCCCAAATGAACTCACTGGTGAGGTCCCTTCCCTTGATGGACTCTATCTGAGGACAAATCATTACCAGCTATTCCCTAAACTCCCTTTTTTTCCCCACTAAGTTTTGCTCCAGCTCAAGGTGACACCATCCATGTATTCTAATATAGTCCTATGACTTATAAGTATTGTTTATGGAAATGCCACATGTAACAATGTTACTACAATTGAAATGTCACATCTCCTCCTTCTTTTTATCCATTCAGCCATTTTCCCTGTCAGAAAAGGAAATTAGATTGGTTTGACATGAATTGTTCTTGCCAAATATAAGTTGGCTCTGTTTTCTATACTACATTGTAGGTGGCTTAAAAATTGATCACTTAATAAAGTTTATGGATTCTTTTTCTCTTTAATAGCATCGGAGAGAATAAAAGAATTTAACAACCTTTTTTTTTTTTTGATCCCAGTGTAGCAAATAAAAAGAAAGGTCATTTAGAATTGAAATACACTTCATAATAGAGACTTCACAGAGGGTTTATGTTGCTGCATTAATCAGCAGCAGAGTAATTACATAGGTCAGTGGAAAGGGTCATAAAATACCAAAAATGCTTCCCATATGCATGGTCTGTCTCCCAAATTACTTAATTATCCATCAGCATTTATATGTGTTAATGAGTAGGAATCCTTTATGCATGGAATGCAGAGACTTGTTTCCTCCCTTCATATTCTTCTATAAATATGAAGATTGAGGCCTCTGACATAATCTTCTCCGTTTATTTATTTCACCAGTGTTAAAATTTTCTAAAAACTTGTGCTTTGGGTTGTCTTACACTGGAAATAGTTCCATTTTTCTTTTCTTTCAGGAGACAGTGTCCTGATCTTTTCAATAATTTCTCAGGTTGTCATTTACTCTGTAAAATATAACAGGAAGGACCAAATCAATAATCCAAGAACAGGAGAGGAATATGGAAATATTCCTAAGTGGTACAAAATCAGCTCCATTAAGTGAAGAAGGAAAAGCCCTAGGAAGGAAACACTAATGCACAAAAGAAGGTGTCTATAGCAGGTTATTTCCAGTTGGAATGACAATGCATGTTTCGTACTTAGGCATTCTAGAAGTGTTCTATTTTAAAAATTAGACATTAAATAAAAAAAATACGGACATTTTCTGCTTGACTATTGTCATCAATACCAATTATTTGCTGGTTGTGAGGTGAAAGGTGGCAAGTTGTTTCAGATGGCCCCAAACTTGAATGGGGTCAGTGGGTGCTCATATTCACCACACAAAAGCCTGGACAGCCCTGCAGATGATAAATATGTCATTGGCCAAGAGCAGTGGCAGGCAGGGAGCATGCACTGATGGCAGCAGGAGTGAGGGCAGTCGGGGAACTGAGCTCATGGAGAGTAAAATGAAATGGTCCTTTGCAGAACCTCACCTGTAAAAGCGCTCAGATTGTTGGGGGTGAACTCATGTCAACCTCATTTTGTTTCCTAATTCTGCTTATACACGTTATTGTTTTCCACTTAGGACTGTGAGAAGTTATGTCTCACATAGAACTCTGCCCAAAAAACCACAGAACTTCAAGTTTTTAAAGAATTTAATAGTAACAGGTGAATATGTTATCATCATCTGAGGCTTAGACTACTGGCAAGTCTCATAGTAGAACTGTAAGATGAGCGAGCAAAGCAGATTACTGTCATTGGGAACACTTTACAGGTACTTTAAACACTTTAAAGTTTGATTACCCAAGAAGGGATAATGAGGGATATTGTTATATATGGTAGAGAGAACTGTACAGAGCAATATAAATACATTAATTTGGCATTGAAGAAATTGTGTAGCATCTCTTTCTATCTTTTCTATCTACCCTCTAGAAGGGGTAGTTTTATTTTAAATGCAAGGGCTGTTCTGTGCCCTCCTGCACAGCTGCCTGTTAAAGCTGTCTCCTCCCCCCTTCCCTGCAGAATTTGCATCATTCTGACCCCTCCTGTACCAGAGGGGTTGTTTTCTCCCCAGAGGGTGTGTATTCGGTGTTTCTGCAGCCTTGGATTAGTGCCTGGAAGTTCAGCCAGCAGCTTGGTGGCCCCCAGGGTGACAGCCGTGCTCCTCCCTCCTTGCTCTGCCTGCCCTGGCTTTAGATAGTCCTTCCCCAAGAAAATACACACCTACTGCACAGACTTTCTGGGGGATCAAAACGTTATCTATCTTGACTTACGCCAGCAAAATAGAAAGATTAATTTCATACGCAAACATAACTTTAAAGAGAAAGGTTACTCCCACAGCCCTTTCAAACCCAAGGACTGGACTCCCCGTCAGGGACCCCTTGGGAAGCACATCCCCTGTAGCAGTCCCTGACTCACTGGGGACAGTTCCCTGCTGGCTGCACAACCACACACGTGTCCTCTCCCTGGTTCTTCAGCAAACCTGACAGGTTTGCAGCCCCTTCTGTGCTCCAGAGCACCTGCAGGAAGGGGCCTTGCCCAGAGCGCTCTGGTTTTCCCACTGCATGTGACCGAGCTGCTCATACACCCTGAGACCAGAGCTGCTGGATCCATCAGCATTCCTTTGCTGCCAGGACTAACAGGAACATATTGGGCAGTAAATCTTCTCCTGCGTGGAAGTTGGCCAGACCTCCCTAACAGACGCTTCGAAGGGCCAGCTGCATTTTTAAAATTTATTTTTTCTGCAGGTCAGTTTTGTAAGATCAAGCAGTAATATATAACCTCAGAGTGTAACCTGCGGTTTAACCGTGGCGTGTTTATGTTTTATCTCCCAGCATGTCACAGGTATTGACCAAAATCCAAACTAAAACCAGCAGGGCAAGATCCTGAGAGGACCAGAGTAGTGACAAGTGCTTCAGTCAGGCACTTAAACACACATTTTGTATAAAACAGTTAAGGACTCCACTGAGCCCCTCCAGAGAGAAAATTAAAACAACTCAGCCACCCGTATCTCAGGTGGGTTTAGCACACATCATTTTGTGTCCTTTCACATAGGTGACTCTGCAAACCAAACACTGCTGATCATGGGAAGAATTCTGCATTCTTTTAAGGTTTTTTTTTTTCTGCTGGAGGGATGAAAGGGAAGAAACTCAATTTTTTATTTCCTTTATAAAACTTGAAAATCACTTCATGAAAATGAGGAGTTCTACTAAAGAAATAAGAAGTGGTTATTCCCTTTTTGCTCTTCATTTCACTTTCCTTCAGGACACAAACCAGACAAGGTATTTGTAAGATACAAGCTGACTACCCAAGTTTTCAAACAGATTAAGCTAATTTGTCTTGCTAAACTAGTCTGCTCTCAGAATGTGGCAGGATTAATGACCTGCAGGGGAGGAGGCCTTATCTCTTGAATACATCCCAGAACAGCCAATGATGTAACAAGATGAGTCACCCTTTGTTTGAGGAAAAATTTGTGGATGTTATGCAAAACAAACCCCAAATTCAACAAAAAGCCTTTTAAATGTATTTAACAGGGAAAAAAAAAAGAAAAAAGAAAAGGGATAGGATGGCTGGAATCATGAAATCTGGAGCAGTGCCCTCAAACCTGTCCTCTGATTTGCAGGTAATATGCTCTGTCTCAGCAGT